TGATAATCATCTCTTTTATCACAGGTTAAATTAAACCATTAAGAGAATTCCCTAATATTCAGTTTAAGTGGTTCCGGAAGGAGTTTGAAATATTTAGCTCCTTTTTAGTATGGTTTTCTTTTAGTAGCATATGGATTGGAAAATTAAAGTCTGATGTTGTAAATTATAAGTGTATCAAGTTGTATATACTTCCTTATATCGAAGTGTAAGCATAGATCAGACACTCGTAGTCTAAGGTATGGTATAAGGCAATATCATGGACTAAACCAACACAAATAGACTTCTCATCCTATTGTAATTTTGAATCTCAATAACTCAATAACTCAATAACTCGTTTATTGAACCAAGTAGACACAATTACATGTATAGGTTAGGTCAAAATAATATAATATGCATTGGAATTGAACTTAAAATAATAAAATTAACTTAAACATACTTTTTAAAAATCAATCTGTCTAAAGGAAAATTAAGATAAATAAGATTCTAGCCGTCAGTCAGGAAGTCACGGACGCTGTAGTAGCATTTATTTAATAGAAAAGATTTTAACTTTCTTTTGAATTTCAGATGGTCTGACTCTGCCTTTAGATGCGTTGGAAGGTGGTTAAAGATATTTACTGCATTGTAACGGAGATTTTTTTGAAAAAAGGTTGTACAGTGGACAGGGACTGGAAGATTATAAGATGTTCTTAAATTGTAAGCATGGTTATGGGAATTGTTGAACTTGTCGATGTTTTGTTTTAGGAATGACAAGGTTTTGTAGATGTAAAGTGATGGAAACGTTAAGATGTTTGCAGTTTGAAAAAATGGTTTGCAGGTTTGTCGTCTTTTTAAAGAAAATATAGCCCTAATTGCCCGCTTCTGCAATCGGAATAGAAATAAGGTCCACTTATTCTCATACCCCCATATGGGCAAGGCATAGGTAAGATGTGGGAAAATAAGGCCATAATAGGCGGAAAGTAGGACTTCAGATTTCGTCGAATTTGCAAGGGTGCGGATGGCAAATATTCCTGAACTAACTTTTTTTATTACGTGGTCAATATGATGGTAAAATTTTAACTTGTCGTCTAAAAACAATCCGAGAAATCTAGTGCAACTAATTGGGTGGACAGGATACTCATCTAGATGAAAGCTAAACGATGAGGAAGAACGATCAGAGATGTGGAAATTAAGAAGATGCGTTTTAAGGGAATTGACAGAGAGCAGATTGTCGTCAAACCACTGAGCTAAACTGTTGGCCTCTGCAAATGTTAATTGTTCTATGGATTCCACAGTGGGGCCGGACAATGCGAGAGACGTGTCGTCGGCATAAAGGAAAGCCCTGGCCGATTGGATTCCAGTGTGGAGATCGTTCACAAACAACAGAAACAGAGTAGGGCCAAGAATAGAACCCTGGGGCACACCACTCAATGTAGGACGTTCGGGTGAGTTATATTGTCGTAGTAATCCATGTTCATCAACGGACGACACCCTTACGCATTGCCTCCTTCCCTTCAAATAAGAGCAGAACCACTCTAGAGCCAAGCCTCTGATTCCAATATTTTTCATTTTCTCAAGTAGGAGGTCATGATTTACTGAGTCGAAAGCCTTGCTCAGATCAAAGAACAGGCCAGCAGAACAGTTCCCCTCATCAAGTGCACTCACGATGTCATCAATGAGAGCAAACATCGCACTGGTGGTAGATTTATTTTTTACAAAGCCATGTTGGGATTCACTAATTATTTCATGTTTTTCTAGAAATTTTGTTAGGCGCAATAATACTACTTTTTCAAAAACTTTAGAAATAGCTGTCAAAATGGATATAGGCCGATAGTTGTTGAGATCTTTAGAGTCACCTTTTTTAAATACTGGTCTGACTATTGCAAGCTTTAGGGAGTCGGGAAAACAACCAGAAGAAAAGGAAAAATTTATCAGGTGGCTGATGGGTTCTGCCAGTAAGTCAGTGATATTCTTTAACATTCTAACTGATATTTCATCGACTCCAGCTGAGTTTTTGTTTTTCAGCGTTGCTATTACTTCTTTTATTTCTTTCTCAGATGTAGGGTGGAAGAAAAAAGATTCCTTTGGCTGTTCAGCTACGGGTTTTCTACATGTTTTTACTGATTTATCATTGTGCTTCACAAAGTAGTCATTGAATTTGTTGGCAATGTTTAAGGGGTCGTGGGTCAGTTCTCCATCAATGTCTCTAATACACATATCATCAAATTTATTATTCTTTATTGGCCTTCTGCTGTTAATAATTTGCCAAATCACTTTTGATTTATTATCAGCTGACTGGATTTTGCGCAATATCTCATTCGATTTTTCTTCTTTTATAACAGAACGATAGCGACATTTTAGCCTTCTGTAATACTCACGCATGAAATGAGTTGACTCTAGATCCTTTGTTCTGTGATAAAGACTGCATAGCTCACTCCTAATATTCAAAGCTTGAGGGCTAAGGGTAGTTTTCCTAATTTTTTTATTTATGATCTTCTTTGTCAATTTTGGGAAAGATATGTCGAAATAGTATTTTACTTTGTCAATGAATAAATTGTATTTTAGATTCATGTCGTCTGAACTGAATACATCTAGCCAAGTTTCATTAGAAAGGTGGAATCTGAAAACGTTTAAGTTTGCCTCATCAAACCTCCTACTAACCCTGTATCTGATTTCATTAATGTTTTCAGGGGGAGAAGTTTTTATGGAGATCACTTGTGCGTGGTGGTCTGACAAAGTGGTAACCATGACTGAGCCTTTTGCCTCCACGTCGTTAGTGAAGATAGGGTCTATTAAGGATCTAGAGCCCAAGGCTTCTCTTGTATATGATTTGATCACGTTATCTAAGTTAAAACATTTCATTAATGAGGCAAGTCTTTGACTTTCAAATTTTTCTTTAGAGAGATCAATGTTAAGATCTCCCATGATAACTACTTTTGCATGTTTATGGACGTATTTGTTTAGACATTCTAAAATCGTGTCAAAAAACTCATTATAATAATTATTTGGAGGCCTGTAGCATGCAATAATCAACATTTTTTCTTTGTCGGCTAGATCCACAGAAACCGCAGCCAGCTCACAGATTCCCTCAATCGGCTCACACTCTAATGCTTGACATTTTATATTGGGCCGGCTCCAGATACCAACTCCACCCCCCTTCTTTGTGGATCTGCAAAATGCAGATTGACACTTATAGCCTTCCAAACAGAGGTTTTGAAGATGACTTTCTTTGAGAGAGTGTTCTGTAAAACAGATGAAATCGGGGCTTACTTCTTCCAGAAAGATTTCTGTTTCATTTAACTTGCTGAAGAGGCCTCTTATATTCTGGTGAGCTAGCTTTAGGGACACCGGCTTGCATTTAACACCCGCTTGAGATAGTGTGCCCAAGGGACCTCTGGGGGTTTCTGGGCTATTCCTAAAAAATTACTGTTGATGAATGTGCGATTGTGTTGGGACTTTTCTTTAGAGGATCCTTTATGAACAACGCTCGGCTTATCTAAAGTGTTCAGAATTACACTTGCTACAGGGGTTATTGAAACTACGTTGATGGGCATTACGGATGAAGTGGGGGATGATCTATTTATAGCGGCATGTAGAACGTTACACAATCGTAACTTTCCTTCTTGGTTAAAATGAAGTCCATGTCTGGTATAATGATTGCGCTGAAACGATTCAAGACAAACAAAGGATGTATTTTTGTGTTGACTAGCAAGTTTTTTTAGAAGGAGATTGACTCTAGAAATTTCTGGATTTAGGGATGGATGATCGTACCTAAACGGGACTCCAACCAGGACCACCCTCGGCCCCGACAACGAACCCAGGGAATCACCCAGCCCAACTGTGAAATCAGTACAGCGTCCGTTTATAAAGTTATTTGTGCCTCCTATTAGAATAACAGTGTCATCTTTACTCATAGTAGTTGCTTCGGATATCGCACTTTTTAGAATTTCATCGTACTTAGCATTAGGTTTTACCAAGCCAAACACATTTACATTTTCTTTTTCCTTTATTTTCATTCCTAGCATACCAGAAATGAACCTACCATGGCTGTCACTGATAATCTTCACACACGTCTTATTGTAATTAATACTAGGATTTGTTTTTTTGTTTTCTTTACTAGGATTGGTGCACAGGGGTTTCACAGGATTATTTTTACAGTTACCATTAGGAACAGTTTTTTTCTTTTCCCTACAGGATTTTGGATCAGGTTTGTGCTTTAAGGGCAAAGTGGTGCTCTCAGGGTTTGAGGGGTCATCAGAGGAGGGCAAGGAGTCAAGAACTGAAAATGTATTCTTGGTAGGAACGTCTATGCGTTGTAACTTTGGAAGGGTCTTATGCATTTTACCATTTTTCTTTTTGACAACCATCCACTCCCTCCCATTTACCTTCTTAAAACTTAGACATAGGGGTTTGGATTTTTTAGAAACAATATTCTGACTGACAGCTTCTACAATGGGAGATAATGCTACATTGATATCAGGCAGAGAATCTTTGTCACTTGCTATGTGAATGAAAAATAACTGGTTGTACCAGTTTACAAAACTGGGGTGATTTTTTAAGCAGAATCCAAAAAGGATTACTTTAGCATTCAATATTACATTCAAACCACACTCAAAATGGTTGTTTTGCCTCTGGCAGCGCACTGAGTGAAAGTTGTTTTTATTAATGCCTAATTTATCTGACAGAAGCAAGGCATGTTTAAGATTGAAATCGTCCAAGGAGTCTAAATGGTAAGCTACTTTATCAACAATGTTTACAAACAAAAGACTCCAGTGTGAGCCCCTACCAGAAGTAGTAGATGTAGCATCATCTATACTCCAGTCTATGTTCTCGTTGTTATTGATACAAAAGAATGCATACGCAAAGGATGAAAACTTTAGATCCTTTAACTGTTGATTTACAGTGTCAGAGGATTCATGTTTTAGTAGTTCGCTAGTAGCTGGACCCACAAAAAGTGAATAAAAACATTGAAAATTGATCTTCATTGAGAAAGTAGTGGAGGTATTTCCCAAGTACATAGGTAACTCATTTCAGTGAGGTAAAGAATAAATACATTGATAAAGTAACTCCAGACAATAACTTGTATGGATAGGCAATGTCTTTATAACTAATCGACTCCAATTTTCAAGTAGTAGTCACAACTTGACTTACGATGGAGAGTTGGAAAAGTCAAGAAGTAATTATTACTCGAAAGTCAAGTACTCGCCCGCCCCTAATTTTTTTAACTTTTAGTAGCAATTATTTCTCCACAAGTATACAGTAGATGTATTTTACTTATTCTTGAAATAGAGACACTCATGATACTAAATCAGGCATTTATGGAAATAGGCTTTAATCTGGAAATAAATCTGAAATGTTCAAACAAAATGTTTTCTATTACCGGTAGATAGACAAACATATTACCAGTAGATAGACAAACTTATTACCGATAGATAGACTAACTGACTACTGGTAGATAGACAAACTTATTACCGGTAGATAGACAAACTTATTACCGGTAAATAGACAAACTTATTACCGGTAGATAGACAAACTTATTACTTAATGGTAAAATTGTTACAAACCAGTTGTTAACTAATTATTTTATTCAAATAATAAACAATACAAATAACAACTAAAGCATGAAACTTATTTATAAGAAAAATGTAAATATGAAAACGCTTATAAAACTAAAATACTTGATAGCATTAAAAATATGGTTGCTATCAACTTAAATGCAAATAATATTCTAAACTAAACACAAACCTCTTAACTTGTAAAAAGAAAGAAATCACTCAATATCAAAATATTGCACTTGATAGGAATATAAACACACTTCATATAAATATTGTTACTTAATAACAAAGTATAATAAATACTTAATGAGCATTGCTAAACCGTACAAGTTAAGCCAAGCCATATCACTTAGAAATAAAGAACAAAACGACAAATTCAGATAAAAGATCTGAACTAAATTTTGAAGTTAGACCAGACCTATTGCTGGATGTCTAAATATGTTACTTATTGACTGCTGTGTAAAATAAATACTATATAAGTATTGCTAACCATAGAGTATGTACTATGTAGGTTCAGACTTCAGCCTCTCCTAAAATAAAAAAGAACTAAATAACAAATTCAGATAAAAGATCTGATGGTAATAAAATGAAACTAAATTTTTAGGTTAGACCAGACCCATTGCTGTCTAAATATGTTACTTATTAAATTCTGTGTAAAATAAATACTATATAAGTATTGCTAAACCATAGATTATGTACTATGTAGGTTCAGACTTTCAGCCTCTCCTAAAATAAAAAAAGGACTAAACAACAAATTCGGATAAAAGCTGATGGTGATTAACCTGTTGCTGCAGGACTAGGTGTGTTCATTCATTGATGACCACTGGTTGTAGGCTTGTGATGAGCTGGGCTGGGCCTCCACTACCACCTGCAAACGTTATCTCTTTGATAAACTTAAACTTGCAAATAATATCACTGAACACGCTTCATAATTAGTTATGTGAAGAGTCAAGCTAACGAGTAGTCAACTCAAGTCAGTTTGTTTTTAACTTGGGATAACCATCTTTATTGAGTCAAACCAAGAGTAAAACTCCACCAAAATACATGGTCGAGTCAACTAGTTAAACCACCAACTCATGCAGAAAATGCTGAACTTTGAGAAAACTGAAAAGTCATTGGCAAGTCCGACTCACGAAACTTACACGCCAATAAGTCATAAGTATTTATAATCCATACAAAATTCTTCATTACCAAAGGAAAGGTAAACAGATGCATGGTCAATAGATAAATTAGGAAAAAATCAATGGCCAAAATCGAGTACAAAATTTCAAATTCAAATATTTTTGACTAGTGTACTAGTAGATGAAAAATTATTGTAAGATCACTTGACAATGTCTGAATAGGCGAAACATGTAGTGAGTTTCACCATTACTTTGTTGGACTGTTGACGTAAAGGTATATGAACCTTATTATAAAACAGGGTGTTTATAAAAGAATGCCGGGATTTTAAATGGTAATTGCCTGGATACTATTCAAGGTAACTAAACGTTTTATACGTCAAATTAAAGCTAAAATAACTAAGTTTTCTTTGCCGTGTAGCAAGAGAGTAAACTTGACCTTGGTATGCACGGAGTGCGGAATGGTAGGCCGCTATTGCCAGTCGTCACCAGTGCAATATTTACGTCGCAACAGAAGGCACAGAGTGTAAACTGTGGCTCACAGAGTTTATAATTGCTAAATTAAACTAAATTTAAAACTACTTGATGTTAAAGAAATTTGACGCTGATTTATTGAGTTTCGTGGCACCGTAGTGTTTAAAAAAGACATTCAGCTGGCTGTCTAGAAACAAGCGATGACATAGTCGAAGAAATCTGCATCAGAAGCCCCAAAAACTGGATTGTCCGACGAAGTCAGTTGAGCATAACTAAATCAACACTTCAAGATGTTATCAGTAAAAGATAGTCTTTGTGCCTAAAAAGATTTAGTTAAGACAACAGATAAACTTGCCCGCCGATGATCCTAAGCGTACAGACTTGGCCAGTTTTACCCTCAAATAAGATTGATGAAATTCTGAATTTTATTAAATTATTCTGAATTGTATCAAAAGTATGAGAAAAAACTTTCTTCTTTTCCCTTCAATTTGAGGTTTAAATCATTTAATTATCTTGAATAGTTCCCGAGCAACGAACCTTTAAAATCCCGGCATTCTTTTATAAACACCCTGTTTAATTAAACAGTCCAGGAACTACACAATGAATTGTTATTCACTCCGTTGAATTTCAGTCTTACATATCTCGCAAATAGTTAAACTACAATACCACTCAGAGAAGTTGAACTTACACAATAGAATAAGCCATGGGTTTGTTTGAATTGACTCAGCTCGAGTCAGGAAAGTACTCGACTTGTCACATTGGACAAGAGAGAAACACAACTAAACAGCCAAGCATCTCCTTATAATTTGGCCCCTTATAATGCAGACTGCTCAACTATTACCGCTATTATGACAGCTGATAATTGGATAAGGGATTGATGTCTGAAAGTTATATACGCAGTAAACTAAGCAGTTTTGTTGTACAGTTCAAAATCCCTTAGTATTTTTTTTTTCTTAAATTCAGTAGTTACAGTGAAGTAAGAAACAGAGGATACATTCAGTACACTTATTGGTGTCTAGCACCAGTCGCTAATGTCTTGAGCAAATTCTATTTGTCGTTCCCTCCCACTCTCCTTTCCACCCCTTGCTATCACGTAATACAGTGCTCAGGCTGTAGAAAGACTATGTGCGCTACAACTGCTGAACAACGTTATGTGGCCATCGCCGTTTGGGCTCTTCCTGGCTCTTTACAAGATCATTCCCGCCTCAACGTATCAGGCAGCTAAATCCGCACGGTTCTCCCATAAGCTTATATATCCTCTGTATCTTACTTCTCTGTGGAGTTACCTATTAGCATTTTTCATGTCAAATGTATAGCACATTCTGTGGTAATAACTGGCTCACACAACTTTGTTCGTTTTAATAAAAAATAGGCGACAGCTGGTCCATATAGATGCGATGTCTACTTCAGTATCCAATAGTCAATGGCCCTATCAAAAGCGTGCAGAAGACAAAACCTTTATTCCAACTGCCTGCCGTCTTTTAATCAATCTTACTCATTCAGAAACAGTGAAAATCACAGGGCTGTCCCATGCTTACCTTTGGTGGTTCAACTTGAGGCGAGGCCACGTCTGGGTATCCGAGCCACTCCATTACTTGTAGACACTTGTTGTCAAACGTTTCGTCCCACTGGCTCATCATCTCTTGAACGTAGGTAACCATGCGAGGTGTAGGAACTGCAGTGTGTGTTGGAGCCGGGAACCATTTAATGACATCCCACACATTTCCTTCTTCGTCCCAGTTTGCAACCAACTCATCCAAATCACTGGGCCATTCCTGAAATGTGATTATAAGTTAATTTTTTTGCTGTCTTTGAAACTCCTTCACATCTTAGTATGATAGGTTCTAACCAGGAACTAATATACACATGACTTCAGACTACAGCAGACCGAAAAGCGGATTTATCCGCCCTCACTTATAAAATATTAGTTTTTTTAATTGAACTTGTTTTGAGAGCAGTTCAAGTTCAGTTTAATCACCGCTTTCTAAGAACATCGTCACTTGCTCAATAATGGTTTATATATGAAAAATGAATCCTTAGAATCTCATCTTTCTAATGGCGACTCATTTGCGGTTTAAACCTGTTTTCATATTGAATTCAATTAATTTATTAATTATGGAATAAATTTAATAGAAAAAACAACATATATTAACATATTTGAATAATAGAAAGCACATCATATATTAACATATTTGAATAATAGAAGAACCCAACCCATGTTGTCTTGGTTGATAGTGCCACTTATGACTTGTGTTTTTTTGGTTAATTATCCACCAGCGCCAGATCTAGGGATAAAATAATTCACTTAACAAATTATACCCTGTATATTTATATTGTACGCTGTAATTGTATTTTCTTCAAACACAAAACTTACTCCCACATAGTCCTGACTACAGTACGCAGGGAAAGCGTCAGGTAGTGCCTGCTCCATGAATTGAAAACTGGGTTGATTGTAGACGGCTTCTGTTCCAAACATTGTCTCAGGGCTGTAGATGGTGGGATTGACTGTAGTTCTTGGCATGGGAGCAACTGACACAATCTGAGGAACATATCGGACCCTTTGACATCTCTGCGGTTGAATAATCCTGAAACTCGTACGCCTTGGTGCTCTCTTGGCTGACGTCTTGGTCGCATCATCACCACTAGTGTTCCTTCTATTTTCTTGTGGGTTGGTAACTGAAAATGATAAAGGTTTGACGAGTTGCTTTAACAATTGATAGAAGTAAGCATTCCATTTTCATGAAACAGCTGTTGCCAGTTTTAAATACAAAATTAACGTCATGGATCCACTGTCAGAGCGGTTACCACACTGTCAATAATTACTGATGGTTACTGTTGAATACACAATTTTAAAAGTATAAGGTAAACTGATAAGACAACGTATTGTGAAATATAACATCTTTTTTAGCCAGTGAGCAGCCAATCTACTCAGCTATGACGACTAATATCAGTAGGCCTACATACAGTAGACTGTCTCTTATCCGGACACCTTTTAACCGGGCATCGGTTTAACCGGACTACACTGGGCGGAAATGATGTCTCTTTAACTGAACAATTTTTATCAACACATTGGTTTAACCGGACTAGATCGGCAGGAAGTGGGCAGTACTGAAACCACTGTTCTCGTGGGAAAGATTTGAGACCAGTGATCCTGTGTCTAAAGTCGAATATCACAGTAAACAGTCCGTTTTAATCGAAGTCCGCTCGAAGTTGGTAAACTCGTAAAATATTAATGCGATTGTGTTGGGTCGAGACTCTGCCTCTCTCGGTACACTGTTCTCATAGCCTGTTCAGTCTTTGAGCAGAACGCTTGGAATTCCTGATATGTGTTGTGGTTGAAGTACCCGGGAATAAAAATAGAGTAGAATTATGTAGTGATACAGTTTTTTTTTACTTTTATGAACAGGGACCAGTTATTTGGAATCCACTACACGAAGACTGGAAAGACCGAAACAAAAGAATGATTTGAGGAAACTAACTCAATATTGCGTTTTATACCCTAAAAAGTTTAGAAAAGAAAGAGAAAACCTACTGGCCAACTATTGGAAACTTTCTTTGAAGGTAAAGATGACTAGTTTAACTGCAAGAGTAACTTTTCAATTGTTAGAAGCCCGAAACTACTATACAGGTTAAATCGCAATCTGAGTTGCTTTCGCACCTCCCTTGTGAACTACTAATGCCTCATTGGTTCTGCCGTTCTCTCTGAGCAGGTCAGTGGCTTTTTAAATCTACAAGTAACCACGCCATGAGGTTTGCAAATTTTCTGATGACTTAAAATCCTTGACTGATTAATGGGAAAAGTGGTTTGGCCCTACCACAAGTTCTGAGAACGGCGCTTACATTATCCAAAACCTTTTTCTCAAATCAGCACCAAAACTGGTCTAAACAACCCATGAGGTCGCAATTTGATAACTTTGATTACTAGGCCTACTAATTGATTATTAAGTTACCTCTCTCCTGTAGAGGCCTCAATGTCATGGGAGTTCTCATTCTTGCATTTGTCATCACTCCCGCTACCTCTCTTGGACCTGGGGCAACCTGACTTTGACCTCGCACAACCTGACTTTGACCTCGCACAACCTGACTTTGACCTCGGGCATCCTGACTTTGGCCTCGGTTGCGGGTCGAGGAATTGGTACTGCAAATAGGTTTTAAATCATTGTATAGTTGCTAAGTTATAGATTATAGGTAGGTTGTTAGTTTAATAATAATAATTGATGTGTAGATTAATATAAAATATGATGTGGTTTTGTTGGATCAAACTGTATATAAACTTAATATTTTTTATTTAAGATGCAACACTACGATTTTTTAATACGTAGCCCAATAGGAAATGTGTTGCCTTTACTATTTCTGTACATTAGAATATAGTGTACCTGTTTGCTCGAAATCGAGCAATTGAGCGCTAGGGATGAGTTATAAAAAAAAAGAGAATTCTAAATAAATAACTCTGAAAATTATTTTATGTCCATTTATTAGATTCGACTTATTAAATATTAAGTACCAATCTTATAGAAGTAAATCTCTCTGTTAATAAAAGCTCCTTTTAGACAATACAGTCGAGTCACGAAAACTCGGCGCTCGATAACCCGGAAGTCTGGATAACTCGGCCATCACCTGGCTCAGAAAATTAGTGATTTTTTGAGTCCGAATTAAACCTGGACTCAAGCCAGATCAAGTCAAATCATTTGCAGCTCGTACCAAGGATATGTTGTGCTATATCTGATGACTTAATACTAACTTGTAACATAAATATAAATAAAAGAGGCAGTTAAAAAGCTTAAAAATTGTATTGTTCTTATTTTTAACCCTAGTTCCCAATAACCCGGCATTTCACAAACTCGGCACCCTTCCAGTCCACATTACGCCGAGTTTGCGGGACTCTACTGTACCTATTTATGCTATTATAAGTATTTTATAACTTTTCAGGAGCTTACCTCGTTCATTATACGGTATAGTGTTTAAAAAAAATAGGTTAAGCTTCCAAAGGAATTTCTCTGACTTGCAGCCACAAAAAAATGTCCATGTGAAAATGCAGGAAAGGAAATATCCTGATGGTAGTATCATTGACTATTGTATACTTTGAAGTACGGTATTGATGTTGTATTGATAGTCAAAGGAAACCCTAGCTATGAACTGAACTGTGTTGTTTGTTTATATTCAACCAACAACATGTGCACATGACGCAAAATATCTGAACATTAACTTGTCTGTAGCCTTATCTTGACAAAATCCAGTATATACCGTACTGAAGTAAGACTAAGAGTTATTAAACATCTGGGTCGGTAATTTTTTTATAAGAAATACGTTGGGATCTTGATGACCTGTGGGGCAAAGCCCGAGGACTTTTATTAAAAGAAAAACCAACTTAATTTTGACACATCCTTTGTAAAAATCTGTCCATTATTAACGGAGGAGTAGTGTTTCGTAGAAATCGCCTTCACTTATTATATACTAGCAGAGTGTAAGTCCTTTGTACGGGGTTGGCGTATAAGTATAAAATGATTATTGGAGTTATACTCGTGCTTTGCGTTTGCAAAGGGAGAGGACACGGTTTAAGAATGTTTGGTTCTTTTAATTTATGGTGTGCTTTTGGTTCTACCACTGCCCTTAACAATAAAAAAGTGAAATTCTCATTTTCAAAGGTTTTTGTTGCTAGTTGGTTCAAATTAGAAGTTGTCATAAATGAAAAAAATTAATAGTGCTGCACCCTGTTTGTAAACCTTATAAGTTTTTAATGTTATTTAATATCGTAGAACCAGCTTGTATAGTTGAAACAGCTGGCAAATTCTTTAATTCCTTTTAACTATGATTAGGCCTACCAGTAGGCCTACTCATAAGGTTGACATGGGAAACATGGGATCTACTGGGGCGGAGCCCGAAATGATTTTTGAGATAATATGTCTTATATGTTAATCGGGAATGTGAGCTATCATCATACCAAATTTAAACCCAATCGGCCAGTAGTTAATGTGTGATTGAACTTCAAACACAAAAACATTTATAATATTAGTATAGGCCTAATAAGGATTTATGAAATGAAGCTGGTTTAAGGCAAAGATGGGTGAGGGGTGACTCTTGAATGATTGAAATTTTAAATACCGGTACCTACAAAATGTGTAGCTTTGTTACTGACTAGCATCAGCTAGTTTTTACTTCCTCCCCATACATATGACTGTGGAAAAAAGTATTGTTTGTGTCAAAATTGTCGAGTTTGAGTTTTGGGTGGATACCCGGTATAGGTAGGTCCCCTATCCATATTTTAGGTCCCCCTGAACCCGAAAAAGTTGTAAAAGGGTAGATTTTAAAAATTGTATGCACTCTTTTTATATTTAACATTATACTGTGTTCAGTTGAATAATTAATTAGGTAGTATAAAAATTAATAAACTTGTATTACAATATGTATGTACTGGTAATATTTATAGTTTCTTAAACAATACTATTAGAGCCTGCTGGTCTATACCCCCCCTCCCCCCTTGGTGGGAATTTTTGAAATATACATTTTTGTGCTCGTATTGACACGTGCTTTAAGATTTTAGGTGTTTGCCACTTGTGAATTACAGCATGTTCCAGAAAACACGAAAATATTATGATAGTTAGAATATATATACATATAAAAAATTTGTTTTTCTTTTCCGATTTCGTTTGGCTCTTTTACCCGACCGATTTTCATGATTGAGGTCTCAAATTGAAGGTATTAATGTACAGATTGCACATCAAGCATCAGCATATATTTGTCTACAGTCCCACTCGGCTTATACGTAAACGACATTTTCTCCCCATGTATTTCTTATGGTAGTTAAATTTGGTTTTTCTTTTCCGAGTTCGTTTGGCGCTTCTACCCACCCGATTTTCATTATTGAGGTCTCAAATTGAAGGTACCTGTATGCACGCACAGATTTCACATCAAGCATCAGTATATATTTATCGACAGTCCCACTCGGCTTATACGTAAATGACATTTGCCCCCATGTATTTCTAAAGGGAGTTAAATTTGTTTATTTTTATTTTCCGAGTTTCTTTGGCTCTTCTACACGTCCGATCTTCATGATTGAGGTCTTAAATTGGTAGTATGCACACATATATTTCACATCAAGCATCATCGTATATTTATCTACTTTATTACTCGACCAAAAAACATACCTAGATTTGATATATTTTTTAATTTGTATTTCAATTTAAATTGTACGGTATTTTACCATTTATAATTGTACCCTATATATTTTGGTCTAAGAACCTTCAGTGAAATACCGGCTTGCATTAAGATATTAGTTATTCAAATCGGACGGGTTTCAAGCAAACGCAAGGTGAACATCCGACATAAAAAAATTATAAGGTTTTTCTATGATTGAATATCAATAGCTCCAGTATTGTTGACGTTTTTTATATGTTTTAGACTCAAAATAATCAGTCAATTAAAGGTTTTAATTTTGAGCTATTGATCGTTTGAATCATTTAAGTTTAAGATACTGTATTACACAATCAAAAATCATAAATTTTATTATGATATTTATTTTAACGCTGCAGTGCAGCATGGGTCCTTTAGTATAGATTGTTTGTTTGATTTGATTTGATTTTTTGATTCCTGTGCGTAGGACAGGCCCACAGCTAGTTAGAATTTGAAAATGCAGGTATGGTGAAGTCATCAGATTGTTCTCACAGTGACAT